TCTTTCCCTTTGCACTGCCATGCACACACTCAGAGTTGCCTTGGACTCCTAATATTTGTTCAGCCTGTAGACACCTTCCAGACAATAATGACATTGTTTATAGTGACAGCTGTCACTCCTGCTGCAAACTCTTTGGTTTGGTTTTTAACCAAAACACTGTTTGACACAAAATTCATATGCAGTCTAAAGAAAAACAACAAACACCCCAAAGAAACAGAAAACCAAACCATCAGCTCTCAGGAATTCTCTCTTCAACACAGATTCTCACCAGCTTGGTGCAGAGCTAAACCCTGCATGCATGCCTGTGCCCTCCCTCTCTCCAGTCCCAGGAACTTTGCTTTCCTTCTACACATCAACATAGGTAAAGAGAACATAGGAGCGGCTAGGACACCCTCCTGAGAAATGAAAACTGGGATTAAACTACTGCAGGATAAAGTGGATATTGAACACTGTCCAACTCCAAAAGTTCTGTTTTTGCTGTGGAAGCGGGTAATGTTATCTCCATTCTCTCCTCTTTTTCCCGTTGCCTTTCTGATTGAGAGCAGCCATGAATGCTGCACGTTGTGCTGGACCCAGAGGTGCCTGGCAGAGCATGCAAAGTGTGATCTGAACACAGACAGCAGTGGGATTGCTTCTCTCTGGGGACGTAGGCCAAAAGGTACCCAGTTTGGGGACAGAGAAGAATCTGTCGGTGTAACACGGACACTGAGCCGCCAGGCTGTCAAGGAGCTGAAACAGGGGAGCTTACAGGGTGCCTAGCCCTCAGCAACACAAGCACCTATGCTTTCTTAGGCATCTATACAAGATCATTATTAATTGCATATTTTTAAGCTTGTGTACCAGAATTACAACACAGGCAGAATTCAGATATCTAAGTGCTCTTCTGGATCTTGGTCTAATCGTGCAAGTGTAACAGACTCATGGCATCAGGGATTACATTAAGCATTTTAGTGCTTAGGCTTTCAACTGTGTAAGTGAACAGTGAATTAATCATAGAATCACAGAATGCTTTGGGATGGAAGGGACCTTTGAAGGTCATCTAGTCCAACCCCCCTGCAATTCGCAGGGACATCTACAACTACAACATCTTCAGTTAAATCCACATGATGTACCGATCAGGTATGGTGAAGTAATGACAAACATCTACTCACTGCACAGAGTGTACTACAGAATATGGCATGCTTTGTGCTAAGCGAAGAAATGTCTTAACAGAGGCATGCCTATATAAAGCTATAAATCCTTGGCTACAGCAGATAATTCTCATGCAAGCATAGATGCAGGTATAGCGGCTTCTGTTGCCTTATCTCACTTGCCAATCCTCATTCTTAAACTGTACTAAAATAAAGTAGATTGTTTTCAGTGTTGCTTCTTTGCAAACAATCAGAGACTCCAGCCTAAATATGAACAGTCACGATAACAGTTTTGACTGAAACAGTACAAGAGGTATAAAAGCATAAAATGTTTTAAAAGTTCCTAGGAAGACAGCTGTTTTTCATACCATTGAAGCAAACAGCCTTATTATGGGAAGCACGTGGAAAGGCTGGCGTACCTGGTTTAGTTCCGGTGTTGCTTTGTCCTGAAGTGACTTTCTTGTCTTGTATTTTAGAACCTTCAGCTGCTAAAATAAGGAAGAAAAGGAAAGAGATTAATTAACCATATTACTAAACAACAGTTCAACCACCCTATTATAATGAAACTTAAACATTGCTGAATTCCCTTTAAAACATGACCATTCTGAAATAGCATTTTAATATCATTCTACAGCATCTTGCATAGAAAAAACCCTGAAGGTTACACAGAAAACATTGAAGCCACAATAGACGTTCCCCATTCAAGTCGAAGAAAGAGCCACAAGAAGATACCATTTTAACAAAGTCGTTTTTAATAAGGTGTGTAATTTTTTTTACCTGCTATGCTAATGCTATACACGCAGCTAATTTTTCCTCTTTCTTCTCAGTGATGCTTTGGAAACCACTACTTCCAAAGAACAGCAGCCTTAATTTTTTTTTTTTTTTTAATTTAATTTCCCTTGGAGGAAGCTGGATTAATCACACTGATAAAAGCAAGTTAGTTGGAATAACAGAATGAACCTGCAGAGTGACTTTGAAGAAGCAAACATTCAAACATGCTGCAATGTTTGGATGCAGTGAAGAAACTGTGTTGCTACAGGTGACTTGCAAATCCTAGGTTTCTAAAGGCATGGTACGAGATACTAGTAAAAACTACATAGACTCTTACAAATTACTAACACAGTCATTATCCAGAACTGAAGAGAGGATAATTTATGACCTGAATGAAACCTAACAGAGAAGAGATTCCCATTATTTTCAAAAGACTTTTGATCAGGCCCCGTCAGTCTAAAAAGAGAGAATTCTGTAGCTCTGAATGCCCTTTCAACAACCATTTAAAAAGAAAAAACAAAAGATTCATTATCATACTTCAAATCACAACCATATCCTTGGCTCAGCATCTATTTAATTAAAAGCCAAGACAGGAAATTAGATACCATGATTTTCTCAGCTGACAACTCATCTTTGTGTCCAGCCGCTCCACGACAGAAGTGTGAGGAGTCCAGAACACTGCAATCTGGGAAGAGTCTAAAGACAGTCAGAATTCTAAGAACGCTTCCACAAACAGCTTGAAAGTATTTGCAAACAAGGATAAAAAGACAGTTATATCAATAAAGCTTAGGGGAGGAAAAAAACCCCACCCAATTCATTTAAATTAAAATATCACTCAAAATGAAAGTTGGAAAAAAATGATTACTCCAGCTTTAAAAGCTAAACAGACATTACTGTATTAGATCCAGTTTAGAAAACATTTTTAAAAATGTTTTTGTTTGTTTGTTTGTTGTGGGGTTTTTTGGGGTTTTTTTGTTTGGTTTTTTTTGTTTGTTTGTTTTTTTCCCCCAGAAGGCTCCAAGCAACTTCCTATGCTTGTCAGTTTAACAATGTACACTCAGGCCTTAGTGCCTCAGTGAGTTCATTCCCTACATGGCCTGACAAAAGTCTTTGTTTCCCCTTTACCTCCTTCCACAGGCATGTTTCAGGATGAACACAAGGATAAAAGGTAGCAGGAGGAACCTATGTGACACTTACCGTACCCTTTTGGTTTTGGTTGGGTTTTTTTGGGGGGGGGGAGTCAGGTGAGGGAAACAGAAAAATAACATTGATCAAATGAGCAATGTTTTGCTGAGAGCAGCATTCAAAAATCACATCATCTCACCAAAAAAAAAAAAAATCATGTAAGAAATTTTAAATAATTGTCAAAAATAAGAGACTCTCCCCTCCCTGACAACTGTACTATGTCTCTTGTGATCAATAGGAGTAACCCCTGTTGAACCTAACAAATATTGGTTCCAAATCACAGTAAGAACTGGCACACCTTAAAGGCAGCCCAACAAAAGATTTTAATATTTTGCCATTTTAAAGGCCTCATACAAGGGATTAGTTTGACCTAGAGGTAGGTAGGATGGACTGATTTTTGGCAAGACAATCTGCACAACACTGAACACTTGCACCTCCAGCCTTTGTAGGATCTACCATTGTCAAAACCCGTACTTTTTCCTCTCAGTGTTCCAAATGGGTGGTACTAAGCCTGAAAAAAAAGTGTTTTATTCACCAGAGAAAGTGCATTTAAACTGTTTGTGTCTTACTACTACCTTAACTTGGGGGGAGGTGAAACAGACTTTCCTCCTGCCTCAATCAGCCATTTAAAACATTCTCAGAACAAGTGCCGCTGTAATACATAGGGAACTATAATACATGGGGAACCTGTATCATGATTCCCATCAGCCTGGCCTGGAGCATCATATAGAAGAGGAAACTGTTGTAAAATAGTAAAAATATTGCTTCTGAGCATTAGTGAGAGGACGGATGTTCTAATGGCTTCAGCACGAGTTTCTTCGCCTGTCTCATACAGTGCACGTGCATTATTTTCTTCAAGCGTTGTGCCACAGGATTATGCAATATTCCATTAACTTCACAACACTGGTTGAAAAGCCATCCAGATAATACACTTGTAACAGAGCCTAGGTACACAGAATATCTTTTTCCATATTTCCTCTTGTCTGACATTTCCTTGGAATATTTTGTGACACAGTTTGAGTACACATTCATATGACCACTCATATGACAAGTGACGAAGAAAAGAACAGATGGCACAACCATGAATTTTAATGATGCTGGATATCAAATAAGAATTGGCACAAGTATCTAGTAACTAGTGTAGGTGTGCTCCCACTCTTGCTCTAAGATACAAACAGATTAATCGGACAACTAAACATCTAAAATCCAAACCTAAATATTGACAACACCAGCTCCAGCCAGACTCAATAACATCACACATGCCAGGAGAGACATCATTCAACTACCTAATACTTGCTCTGCTTGAACCGCTATCTTTACATGGAGGGAATATAAGTTGCATAAAGAAGTGTTAGAAATAAGAGTATCCTCTTTTTCTGTGACGCATTCTGGAAACTTAAAATGCTGAAGCCAGCCTGGGTAATAGTGTAGATATACTGGAGAAGACAATCACAGAATCTGAGTGGTTGAGGCCGGAAGGGATCTCTGGAGATCATCTAGTCCAGTACTGTGAACAATACGTTCCTTTGGCAATACAAGTTGACTTAAAATGGATTTGTGTTGCCTAAATACTTAAGTATGTAGTTGATTATCAAGTACCTAACTGAATCACAGAAAACAATGGAAACAATCCAGACTAAGTTACTACATCTTCATTTTGTAATAGCAGAGAAAGAAATGTCACATGTGAAATTTTATTACTTTAGGTCACATACTTGTGAATTTAGAAGAAGTTATATTTGCAAAATAAACTGGAGGACAACATCACCAAAGCAACATAACGGATTCTGCTGCCATCCTGATATGTGCGCTACATTATCGTATTTTGGTCTTTTAAGGATGTAGTGTGGTCTATAAGACGACCCTGAGTGGGAATCAAAAGATACTTAGCTCCTCTCTCTCAGCTCTACCATTACTATATGGCATAGTATTAAACCCCGCAATTTCTCTATCTGGAAGGGGGGCGCAGGAACCAAAGGAAAAAAAGGAAGGAGAAAAGAAAAGGAAGGAGAAAAGAAAATGTACTGCTACTAAATACATACGCATTTGCCAACACTGAGCTCTGCAGCACAGAATTCATTATTGAAACATTCCAGAAGCAGAGCTGAAAGGGATGCGTAAGGCTGACCAGCGCTAGGGAGGATCTCTGTAGCTTCAGCTTTCAGTTTTACCTTGAACCAAGGCAAGTGCAAAACTGGCAGGTTATTCCTAAAAAAACAGTTTCGTGATGGAAATTAATTCTATTTACAAATCTATGATCAGTTCTGATATGTCTATGTGTTCACATTCAGACAGGTTTAATCAATGCTTCTATTACCAGGATGAGTATAAGATCTAGAAGGACTGACAAGCAATTTCCTACAGGATGTCAATTTACATTGTTCCTCTTGAAGTAAAGAAACCAGCTATCCTCAACTTCTCCAAAGAAGGTCTGTGTGAGCAGAAACAGGATTTACTAGCAGTGGGAAGAAAGACAAGTACAAAGAGAAATTCTACCTTAAAAAATGAAAAGCTGAAGTCTCATAGGAAACCTTGAAAAAGGAGGAACACTATAAGCCTTTAGTACCTGCCAGGTTAGCTCTGGTCAAAGGAGACTGGCCTGAGAGACTCGGCAAGACAGCACATCAGTGGGAAAAGCCTGACTGAGAAGTAAGAGTCCCTAGGAGAGTTCCCTGGAAAGCAGGAGGAACATTCGCCCAGACCCTGGAAAAACCACAGAATGCCAAGGAAACACTGAGCTGGGAAGTGTTACACTGGCATTTTGACAAGCTGCTTAAAAAAAAAAAACAAAAAAAAACACCAAACAAAAACCAACAAAACTCAAGAGCTGTGCAGATTACAAGCATTTGCTTTTCAGACCGTGGCAAATCAAATGCATGTTTGCACAACATGAACCAGCTATCCCCAGTGAGGTGAATGGAAAACCAGAGCCCCCACAGCAAGGCTGGAGACCTGGAAAGATGATGTTAAGTTGAGGAAGGACATCAGCCACAGGACAGAGGCAGCTGTACTACCAGGTCTCCACTTCCAGAAGTGGAATCTTCAACAGATGAAATGCAGTGGGAAGGGGCACTTGGGGACCACAAGCAAAAGACAGTGCTCAGACCTGTCTCAGGGTCAGGACGTGCACAGCAGCCCCCGCAGAAGTGCACCCTAGCAAACGTCTGACAAGGGGAACTGTACAAGGGATGCACAACCACGGATGAGAGCACAGGTAAGCCTGAGGCATGCATGCAGACAGCTATGTGTGCCTGACAGTTCAGATACTCTGGGTAAAGGGTGCAACGAGCAGCGAAGAGGAGATACCACCTTCCAGTTTCTTGCTCTAATTCCACAAGCGAGAGACGGAAGTGTTGAAAAACAGCCAGGAGAAAAAAGAAATAGCTAGAACAGAGGAGGAGGGACTAAAGGGAAAAGAAAAAAAATCTAGCTATTCTGTCCCTGCCACTTGTCAGCTAATCCCCCGGTTAGACTGAACAGCTACCTAACTGCCAAAGAGTGCCAGGGGGTGCCTGCTGGGAGATGGAGAAGG